CCTGAGCGCCCTCCGCGGGGCACAGAGGGGTATAGCGGAGAGAGCCATCAGGGCATATAGGACGGTCTCCCACGCAACGGTGACGGCGCTGGCCGGGACTCCTCCGTTGGAGTTGGTGGCCAAGGCGCTCGCGGAGATCTACCAGGTCATCACCGCGATCAAGGAGGAACAGGGCCTCCAGGCCGTTACTCCTGGCCTCGTATCCCAGGTGCGAGAGGCCGGTAGGAGGCGTATGCTCGACGAATGGAAACGCTGGATAACAACGGCACGAGGAGGAGGAGGGGAAACACTCCGGGCGATACAGCCGCTACTTAGAGAATGGACGAAGGCCAGGGTGCACCTCTCGTACCGTGCGACGCAGATACTCACAGGCCATGGGTGCTTTAGCCGGTATCTGCGGCGCATTGGAAAGGAGCGAGAGCTGCTGGTTTTGCGATGCAGCCAGCGACACGGCTGACCACACGTTACGGCGGTGCGCATTGGACGAAGGCCAGGGTGCACCTCTCGTACCGTGCGACGCAGATACTCACAGGCCATGGGTGATTTGGCCGGTATCTGCGGCGCATTCGAAAGGAGCCCAGCGAGAGCTGCTAGTTTTGCGATGCAGTCAGCGACACGGCTGACCACACGTTACGGTGGTGCGCGGCTTGGGCCGAACAACGGGCCCGGCTGGTGGCGGTGATCGGACCGGATCTCTCTATGCCCAGCATTGTCCGATCCCTTCTCACGGAGGGGGGAAGGCGCGCATTCCTCTCCTTCGCGGAGACCGTGATGCGCGAGAAGGAGGCCAGGGAGAGGGCCAGAGAGGGCATCCCTGCGGCAGGAAGTATAGGACAGCGGCGCACCCGGACCCGTTAAATAGGGACCGGGGAGCGAAACGAAGATGTCGAAGCGACAGATAGGGAAGGTCGGCGTCTGACCTCCGGGCCGGGCACGGCATCCCACCCTTCCTCCGGTACCGGAGGCATTCGCTCGAAAGGCAGCGAGGAGAGGCGGTGTCCCCCTCGCTGCAAGGAATTAACAACAATGACGGATGGCGCGTGTACACGCTCAGCGTTGTGACGGGTCGGTAGCACTGTACACGCGTAGATCCCGGTCCGGGATCCGGGATATCACAATATGCGCTAAGGACATATGGTACACCCGCAATGGTTTTAGTGGGTATTCCCCCTTCCGGTTATAGGCTGGGGGCGACCCCCACATACCCCGGTTCCCTTTCACCGAGGGACCAGGGATGCGTAAAGGCATTTCCACTGCATTAAAAAAAAAAAAGGGTCGGGGGTGGAGCAACAAAATCGGATTCGTCGCAAATCGCGAGCAACAAAATCGTAGACGTGAAATCAATCGAGATATCTCAATAATTTACAGTTTAGAGGTGTTGTGCTAACTCTGGGTGGCTAGGGGCGGTTTTTGAAGGGTCGGGGGTGGAGCAACATAATCGGCAACTGAGCAACAAATTAGCAACAAATTAGCACAAAAAGATCGTGTGCCATTTTTTATTTAAAAAAATTTTTTTTATGTGGCTGTGCTAACTTTATTTTTAAGTTAGCACAGCCATTGTTTCCTCGGAATTGGCTGGAGCAACAAAATCGGGAATTGAACAACAAATTAGCAACAAAAAAGCACTAAATTTCTGTGTAGGTTTCGTTCGATTGTGCTGAAGTGGCTGTGTCAGCTTAATAGACGTTCCTAATAAAACGATACTGATGATTGAGAATCAAAATCTAGATCATCGTCAGTTTATTCTACGTTAATCCATCAATATTAACCACACATGATCAGTAATGTCAGTATTTATCAGGAGACGCAGTAGTGTCTCGGCGCTAAGCCAAGCGCAACGACACTACCGTGATTTCTTTACGCGAGATTAATACTAACAATATTATTGATCGTGTAGGATCACCTTAATGAGGTATGTGTGGAAAACGTCCTTATTTCTTATTTCTGTTGATAATAGACATCATTGACATCAAAGTCGGTGCGAGTCATTTTTAAGCAGAAGGAGTTTGATAATTGTAGTTTATTTCAAAATTTGGTTTTTTAACTCTTATCGTCATTGAAAATCCTACTTCACACGTGATTAATAATCTATAATTTTATTCGTAGCAGTGCAATCGTACTCTGTTGCGTTAGAAAATCGTTCTATCTATGACCTCTTGGATTTTATTTAGAATTTATCACGTCTTATGTCGCGGCTTGTACGTTTTTTTTTAACGTGAGCGTGTTGGTGATTCGGACTCTCGTTCATTTTTTGTCTTTGTTATTGATCGATACCCGAGTTTGATAGCCAGATGGAACTCACGTTTAAGAATGCGTGAAAAGAGTTTTGCAACAATTCAACAATGTTCAGCAGTGTCGTTCTCAGGGAGGCAAATATACCATTTGAAAATTACGGCGCCGCTTGCAACCTGTACAAACAAACGGCTATTAGGTACCATTATACGATAATAATGCTTGACGTCAAATATTATATAATTTCGCTGCGTGAATCCGGGCTGTTTAAATTGTTCGGTTTGATTGAATGATGGCCACCGCTCTAAGTTGGCCGACAACCGCTTTAACGTAAATAAGACAGTACCCCATTCTGTATACCTATTGTATACCTATAAGAATCACCTCGTTATACGGAGTGTCCGCTTGTTTGTAATGAGTCTTGTGTTTTTATTATCTGTTTGTATACGTGTATTCCCGGTAAAAGATTTGTCATGCATGAATATGTATAAATATGCATAAACATGTATAAATATTCATTAACATACATAATTTTATAAGAAATATGTCTTATACAGTATTGGACAAAATAAAGTACGCACTCCAAACATTTTCACATTTATGTAAATAACTCGCCAGTCCTGGCAGATAGCATAATGATGAATGAGGTAAAAGAAAGGTATTTTAGTCTACTTTGCAATAATGATTACAAAAATTTCAAAAACAATTCGAAATCCTTTAATAGTCAAGTCCGTTACATTTATTATCAAATTTATCATGGACAAATAAAGTACGCAAGTGAAAAAAAAAGTGTAATAAAGACAAAGTTTACAATTAATATTTTGTATGACTACCTTTTGCTTGTATGACGGCTTGCAAACGTCGAGGCATACTTTCGACAAGGTTTTGGATGTATTGCTGATCGATATTTTTCCATGCTTTCATCAATGCTTCCAACAACTTAATTTTATTCGTTACTTCCCCTTTATCAAGCTTCAGGTCCAAAATCGACCACAAATTTTCAATCGGATTCAGATCTGGCGATTGCGCTGGCCAATCGAGCAGTTTGATCCCAGAAGTACGAAAAAAAGCGGTAGTTTTACGAGCGGTATGTTTGGGATCATTATCTTGTTGAAAAATGAAGTTGTTCTCCAGATCAATCTTTAGCAGAGACTTTTCTAAATTTTCATTGAGAATATCAATGTATACATCTGCTGTCATTATACCGATTGTCGATTTTGACTAGATTTCTCAAACCAGACGACGCAAAACATCCCCATACTGTTATGCTGCTTCCTCCATGTTTGAGTGTTTTTTTGGATATTTTTGTCGATAAGTTTTTCGCTAGGCTTTGACCAGACCCGTGGTCGCTGTTTATGAAAAGTTCAAATTTGCTTTCGTCACTCCAAAGGACCTTTTTCCAGAAATCCACTGACTTGTTAACGTATTTTTTTTACAAATTCCAGACGTTTGATTTTATTGGCCTTCCGAATCAAAGAATGACGCACTGCAAAACTGTTTCTAAGTCCAACTTCCCGAAGTCTCCTCCGCACCGTTCGTTCGGAAATATTTAATTGTTGGTTTTCTCGGATAACACGACTAGTAACAGTTGAATTTTTCTTTACTTCCCGTATGATTCTGCAGTCTTCGATTGGATTTGTCTTTT